CAAGCAACTACCATGTCCTGTACTCATGACAAGAGATGAACAACGCTCAGTTTGCACTCAGAAAGGCACAGAAAGAATAAAGGTGTAAAAAGTCAACTGTAATATCTGGCAAAATAAACTGCAGGTGTAAGTAACGGGATAGTGATAGAATGCAGAGAAAAAACAAGCAATTCTGACTCTAGGTTTCAAGAAGACTTTCATAAAATCAATGCCATTTGATCTCCACTTTAAGGGGCAAGCAGAAATGGATAAGGAGACTACAGATGTGAACAGATTTCAGCTAAAGTTGACGCAGCAAAAGCAGAAAACTGTAAAAGAATTTGTGATACATGTGGCAAACAATGAGTAATTATTTGAGATCATCATGGACTGCTGGCCATATCCTTACCAAAGCCTCTAGAAAGACTTCTACTTTCAAAGGAAAGTACACCTATGAAATTTAAATATTCTTTTTAGGAGCAGCATGGTGGGGCTGTTAAAAACATGGGTCCTTGGGTCCATTTCTCTGGGTTTAAATCCTAGCTCTGCCTCTTACTGGTTCTGTTACTTTGAGCTTGTTGGCTAACTTCTCTAGACTTCAAATTTCTCTTCTATAAAATGGTGAGAATCATATTAACTGCTATGCAGATTAAATAATAAAAATAATATGAAATACTTGGCATGATTTCCAATACATAATAAGGTTTCAATATTACTGTTGTTGTTATTCACCTGTTTTATTTCTCTTAGTAGATAGGTGATTCCTAAAAGTCAAGGAATGATCCATTTCTATTTTACTCCCATGGCCCAGAATCTGGAAGTGCTTTTGCATAAAAGTAGAATTTATAAACACGTGAATGAATGTATAAGTGAATGAATGAATAAATAAGTAAAATACCAAATTTCAGATCTGGATTTTCTTAATAGTAGGATTTGAGTTTGATTCATCTCAATGAGCTGGGCATCTGCCTTAAAGCTTTTTTATTTTATAGATTCAGCCAGTATCATAGTTCTGGTGATGTGAGCTCCAGTGAACAACTGGGGAGTGTAAAGACCAATACACGGACAGAGCGTCCTTGGACCCAGCGCTCTCCTATTGCTTAGCCTTTCTCTGTGGAGGACATTTGCTTGGCCTATGACTTAATTCCATCAAATATAAAACAAAAATAACTTCAATGACCACCTAATTGTCATTAATAGTGAACTCATTAGATGTCTCCAAAACCCTCTCTGAGAAGGCATTTGGCTAAAACCCCACTTGACAATGAGATGTCCTAGGATGCCAAAGAGAATTGCAAGAAACAATGACATTTTAAATGAGCCATCAAGTGATTTCTTACATTCTGTTCAAATTCAAATTTATACATGGAAAAGAAAGGCCAAAGTTGGCAACTCTGAGGTAATCAAAACTTTCAGATAATTACAATGTAATTTCAAATACATATATAGATAACTAGGTTTTTTGGATAATAAACTGGAGAATATTCAATTTATTATATTGAAAACATGGACTCCTTCCTAAATTTTCATACAGGCCAGCTAACAAAGTTTAGCACCAGAAAGAGTAAAAGGTAAGGACACAAAAGATAAACACTGTATGGAAAAATGAAACTTTTCAGAGGAAAAAATATAGAGCACTATGAAAATATGTTGATGCAAATATATTTGTACCAATGGCCTTTCATACTTGTTGGGATATTTCATATGATAGATCCTAAAGAGTAGAATAACTAAGCAAAAAGATAATAAACATTTTAAAGTTTTAATAGGTATTACCAAATTGTCCTTCCAAATAACTGCAGCCAGTTACACTTAATGATTTGTGTATGAGGGACCTGACACTCAACAGAGTCTACCAGATTTTAAAGAATTCCCTTAAAATAATAATAATAAAAGAATGAGACATAAATTGGAAAAATCTACCTTCATCAGCAGGTTATAGATCAACAAATTTTGGTGTAACTGTGTGATGGACTACCACTCCTCAATATAACAGGAAAAAAAAAAACACTGATATATACAATAGGGATACACCTATAAGAATATGCAGAGCAAAAGAGGCCAGACAAAAAAGAATATATACTGTATAATTCCATTCATAGGAAATTCACTATTCATGGTGACAGAGATCTTGGGCTTGAAATGAGTATAGATTAACTACAAAGGAGCACGAGGAAACGTTTTGTAGGGATAAAAATGTTCTAGATCTTGACTGGGGAGGTGGTTACGTGAGTGAATACATTTTTTCAAACCTCCACTTATATCTCCATAAAGTTAGCTGAAACAAAGGGGATAAAATGAGAGTTGGGAGGGTGTGATCGCCAGGATTCATATGTGGTTTGGGCTATAGCTGCCCCTGGATCCCAGTGTTTTTTCCCATTGCAGCAATTTCTTTTAGATTACTTGTATTCTTCACTTTTCTAAAAGCTGAAGTCTGAATTATCATTTCCATGCTTTAAAACCTTTGAATGTCTGTCCCAACTCTCAGGACAGCATTCTATCTCTTTGGGTTAGCACACGAGATTTCTTATGCTCTGGCTCCATCCTACCTGTCTGGCCCCATCTTTAACTCCTGACCCCCTAGATCCAAACAATTTTCCCCCCAGCCAGCCTGAAATACTAACTCTTCCACAATTCCATGTTCTGCACCTTAATACATGAATCTCTTTCTTCCAGACGCAGTCCTTCAGCTTTACTTCTTTGTCTAATACCTAATTGCCTCTGAAATTTGGCCTATATCAACTCTCTGAAATCGACCACTACCAACACATCCCATCACATATCTAGCCTAGCACATAACACACACAACATTCTTATTTTTGGAGTCTTGGAATTTCCCTCCTACTAGGAGCTCCTTGAAAGCAGGACACTGCCCTCATTAACTTATTTTCCCATAGTGACTAATATAGCACCTGATACACAGTGAATAGTAAAAAAGCAATTGCTACGTGAATGGATATGAAATGTTAAATTTCTGGGAGAAAAAAAATGACTGTGCAAATTGCAAACTCAAAAGAAGGTGATACGCAACTGAGGTAAGATCCTCTTGCTGAGACCTTTATAGGTCTAACGGCATCACTATAGTTTTTTCATTTGTCCAAAAGTGTCTGAGGCCAACTTAAGGGACTGGAGACTGTAATTTTACTGTGTGGATCTCAGCTGCAATCCCGACACATTTGCATAAGACAGTAATCACCGCACTGTCTCGCTGGTAAGAACACTAATATTTTGGTCCTTCCAGACAGACTCAGCAATGTGATTAGGAGCCATTTGAAAAATGATACCCCACAGTAAAATGAAGCTTTGTGGCCTCTTCGTCAATCCCAGCTTCTGAGCCTTTAAAACCTCCTTTAAGAACATTTTTTAAATTTCCTTGAGTATGTTTATTAAAAAGTAAGAATAAGAACTCTCTTCTGAAACTACCCCTACCTGCCAAATTACCTGTTATTTATTTGGGCAATATTCAAGTCCCTGTATCTAGAAAAAACCTGAAAATCTTTCTATCAAGTCAGCCAATGAAAGTCTGTACTAAATTACGTGGGCAGTCATTCTTCTTTGCCAAATGCATATAAACAGAAAATGACTTCATAGTTTTATCTTCATTTTTGGTGTTCCCCATTTCCTGCTGAGCCTTTATACATGGCATTTGTCTCAGTCAGTGTTTTCTCTGTGCCATTTTTACCGAATAGAATTGCAGGTTTGGGCAGGAGCCTGACACTGGGCTCTTTTTATATAGTTCCCTGCGAAATGGCTATGAGATTTCTGTTTGAACACTCCCTTGACAGAGAGCTCACTAACTCCTAGGGGCAGCTCATCCTATCTTTGAACAATACTGGCTATTTTACCTTGTGAAATCATTTTTCCTAGAGTTTCTACAACATTGGTCTGAATCTATCCTTTAGGACCACAGAACAGAAGTAGAATCTCTCCTCCATGCCAGCTCTTCAGATATATACAGATGATAAAGATAATTCCATTGGGTATACTCCAATACTCCAAATTACTCCCTTATAGAAAGTGATTTGGGCCATGCCCTTCTGCAGATTTCTCTGATTGTCAATATTACTCAAAAGTCTAGTCCCCGGGTCCAAGAGCTGCTATCCAGCTGCGTTCTAATGAAACAAAAAAGGGCAGGATCATTATATACCTTCCCTGTCCGTTAAAATGAGCTCCATTCCTTCTCAGTTAAAATGAGCTCCATTCCCTCTCAGTTAAAATGAGCTCCGTATCGCTTTTGTCTCACATTTTCCATTCTGCTTTCAAATTTATCTTTCAGTATATTCTTTCGTTAAGCTCATACACTCATTTTACTGTCTTTCCATTACTCATACTATTAAAAAAGTATACCACATACGATATCTACAGTTCACAAAACATAGATATACAAAGAAAATTATAATACATTTGCATATGATATTTATTTAAGCCTTATTCTGTCTGGAGGCAGAAAAATAACTTAATTTTTGCAATTCTTGGTAACCTGAGTCATTTTAAAATTTAACTCTGCCAATTTATTATTTCCCTTTTGTCTTCTTTGCAAGAGTGCTTTTAAGCTCTGAGAGGCTTGCATTACATTGCGGGGAAGACATCTGGGCCTTAGTTGCATCAATACAAGCCAATACTTACCAAGAGGTTTGCATTTCTACTCAACAAAATCAATGCCCATGTGCTTCACTGCTTTCTCTCCTCACCAATGCCTTCACTTGTACATAAGATCCCACCTCCTCTTGAAAATAAAATAGACATCCCATTCTTAACATGTTCCAGATCAATTCCTGATATCCCATAACTCCAAACTTCACCTTTCTTGGTCTTCCAAACTTTATAAGTAACAACTATATTATTCTAGTTGCTCAAGCCTAGATCGTGAAGTTATCTTTGATTTTTCTGTTTTTTGTCATGACCTATATTTATCCTCTCCTGAAGTAATGTTAACTCTAGCTTCCAAAATAATCCAGAGTCCAATCATGTATATTAATCTACACTGTAGCACTCTGATCCAAGCCACCATTGTATTTCACCTGGATGATTGCAATAGCTTCTTGACTGCTATCTCTGCTTCTCCCTTGACTCCTACATGCTATTTCACTCAGAGCATTTAAAGTGACCCTGCCAAAAAATAAGTCATATTATCTTACTCTTCTGTTCAAAATAGTTAAAACCTTCCCATCTCATTGTAACAAATGCCAAAGCCTGCAATGACCTGCATGTCTCTACATGGTCTAGATGCATGTGACCTGTCTGACTTCAACCTCCTCTGCTCACTCCTAATTCACCACATTGCAGCGATACCTGCCTCTTTGGTTATCCCACACTTTAAGCACATGCCTGCCTCGGGGTCTTTGCACTGGTTGTTCCCAGGTAGTCCTGTGGTTCTTTCTTTCACTCTCTTCAGTCTTTGCTCAGTGAGACCTTCCCTGATTACTGCATTTTTTTTTTTTTTTTTTGAGACGGAGTTTCACTCTTGTTACCCAGGCTGGAGTGCAATGGCGCGATCTCGGCTCACCGCAACCTCCGCCTCCTGGGTTCAGGCAATTCTCCTGCCTCAGCCTCCCGAGTAGCTGGGATTACAGGCACACACCACCATGCCCAGCTTATTTTTTGTATTTTTAGTAGAGACGGGGTTTCACCATGTTGACCAGGATGGTCTCGATCTCTTGACCTCGTGATCCACCCGCCTCAGCCTCCCAAAGTGCTGGGATTACAGGCTTGAGCCACCGCGCCCGGCCTGATTACTGCATTTAAATGCCCACCTTCTGCCAGCAGTCTCCTCCCAAACTCTGTTTCCTCCATGCCACTTACCAGCTTCTTGAGTATTCCTTTATTGTCTATTTTCCATTCATTCCTCTCCCTCCACTCTCTATCAGCAAAATGTTTCATGGAAGCAGAGATTTTTTTAAATCTCTTTTTCTTCCCATTACTGTATCTCATGTGACTAGAATTGTGACTGACTAGTGTGATGTATCCGGCACATAGTCAGCACTCAATGTTTTTCGTTCACTGAAATCCCAAGAGTGTTTTGTCATATGTTCCACGTCACTTTCTGGCTTGACATTGCCTTTTCCTGACTGTGAGACTTTTCCTGGTTCACCAACTGCCATCTCTGAGCCCTCTAAAGAGATTCATTGGCAATTTCTGGACACTTTCCACGCTACTCTAGAGCTGCAGTCACTTCTGAGACAAGTCTCGGGTCTTCTTGGCCCAGACATGAGGCAGCACCATTTCTTGTTCAGTGCTGCTCTCCTGTGCATGGGGTACCTTAGGACCCTGCGGGAATCTACTCAAGAAGTAGGCTCCAGCTCAGCTGGTCTCAGAACACCTCCTATTAGGGTTCTGTAATTAGGATTGGATTTACTTCTTTCTTGTTACCATGAACAACACCTCCTTCTCTAGAAACTATACATTTTGACCCATAATGTCATAATTTGAAGGTCTAACAATAATAATGATGATAATAGCCAGTAGTATTGTGTTAACATGTCACTGGCACCATGCCTATATTACATCATTGAATCCTTAATACTATCTTTAACCAGTCACCCCATGACTCCTGTAAATCAATCACCGGCTGGGAAGAGTCACTTTCTCAAAAGTCTTCAGCAGCTTCTCACAAGTTTATTCACCCTTGTTTCCTAAATCCATATTTTTACCTAGCCACGGTCAAGATAAAAATCATTCTGTGTCTATCACTTCTATGCCAAATTCAATCGATGCCAGACAGATGCACAGAGAGTTATTTCTATACTATTAATTTTATATATTAATATATGGAATTTTATGTTATTAATTTCCTATGCAGGTGAAATCACAGGGCTCATTATTCCAGTATGACTTATCGCCTGTCCAGAGGCGTTGAGATAATCATGTGTAAATTGTTAAGAACTCCTCTTTGCCCCTAGGATCTCATACAGTGGATAGTTGCCACTTGGGAAACATTAGGAAGGTCTCAGGACTGAGATCAAGCTGAGGATTCATAGTCAGAATGGGAAAGACAAGATGATTGGCAGATGACAGGGTACAATGATGGAACTGGTGACAAAGAAAATGCCCAGTGTCTGGGAGAGTCAAGAGGCATCAAGGAGAAAAATTTAACCTGGGTGTTTATCTTATTGCATTTCCAGCACATCTCTGCATCCCAATTCTCTACCATAATCCACTATGAGCTCGGGTAATGCAAACTCATTTTCATATCAGCAAAGGGGATTAGGAAGGTAAATCTTCAGAGGAAAAAAATTATCCATGCTGTATTTTGAAGGTGAATGCAGGATAAATGATTTTTTATCCACTCCTTTGTATTATTCATGCCTCAACATTCTGTCATGGCCATGAATAAATAAAATTTAACAAATGTTGTTTGGTCCATGGTGGCCCAGAGTCACCCTAGAAGCTGAAGGTCAACTGCAGGATATTCCAGGGTCTCATAAATGTGATAATCTTGGAGATAATAATAATTAAAAAAACTTTCTCAATCTTTTTTTTTTTTTTTTTTTTTGAGACGGAGTTTCACTCTTGTTACCCAGGTTGGAGTGCAATGGCGCGATCTCAGCTCACCGCAACCTCCGCGTCCTGGGTTCAGGCAATTCTCCTGCCTCAGCCTCCTGAGTAACTGGGATTACAGGCACGTGCCACCACGTCCAGCTGATTTTTTGTATTTTTTTTAGTAGAGACGGGGTTTCACCATGTTGACCAGGATGGTCTTGATCTCTTGACCTCGTGATCCACCCGCCTCGGCCTCCCAAAGTGCTGGGATTACAGGCGTGAGTCACCGCGCCCGGCCCTCAATCTTTTAAAGCTCCTTTTGGTAAACAAAAAAATCACATGCTCACATTAAATCGCATTTGAAATTCAAAGTAATTAAATATTGTGACAAGATGGCAAAGCAGATCAATGGAGAAAAGTGTATTGCTGCGTATTGATATCTCGTCTTCCTTGAACTTCTGTAGACCTTCCTTTGAGAACAATGGTGTAGATTAAGGAATGGCAAAATAGGGCATAGCACCTATTTTTGCATGGCTTGGGAGCTAAGAATGGCTTTTATGTGTTTAAATAGTTGGAAAAAAAATCCAAAGAAGACATGACATGTGAAACTTAACGTGAAATTTTACTTTTTTCATAAATCAAGTTTCTTTAAAACACAGCCATGCTTACCCATACTGTCTGTGGCTGCTTTTGTACTGTATCAGCAGAAAAAAGTAGGTGCAGCAAAGATCATTTTGCCTGCAAAGCCTGAAACATTTGCTATTTGACTCTTTACAGAGAAAGAAATCATCAATACCTGGTGAAAACTAATGCCCTCTTTAAAGATGAGCGAATTAATACCCAAGGAGATGTAACAGCTCAAGTTCTCACAGATGGTATGCACCAGAGACAACTCTAGAGCCCAGTCATCACGATCCTATCTAGGGTCTTTTCTCATTGTGCTGCGTCGCCCGAAAGTCCCATGGATTGTAGGCAGGGTAAGAGGCCGTTACTAAGCGCTGGCTCAGGCTGTAAGAACCAGAGTCACTGTTCAAAGGGCTTCAGGAACATCAATAAATAATGCAATTATGAAGGGGTGTGTGTGGCAAATTCATTTCATCCTAGCATATGTCCTACTATGTGATGGGACACTGTAACCTTCTGGTCTGAACTGAACGCTGCATGCCTTTGGATCGGAATGCCCATCTGCCATTTGTACTTATTCTTACTTTGCCATTGCAATTTGAGAGCCCACAGAAACAGGAATGTGGGACATTTTATGTGATCAAGGACATTGGGAAGAAAAAAAAAAAGAAAAACAGAAAAAGGGAATCCGAGGGTCGGGGAGGGAATTGAGTTCTGTTTTCTGCTACAGGCTACATTTTTATTTATTTATTTTTTTCCCACTGGCATGCGTCCCCTTTGTTTTGAATAATGGAGATAATTATACATTCAAGGGATCATACTCTAAACCCCCTGAACAATTAAGAAATCTTATTGCAGGTAATCATGAGAAAATGTCAGGGAGGATTATCCAGTGAGACAATGGAAATCATACTTCTTCGAGTCCCTTGCTGAGTATAGGGACCTAATCACCATTCTCCTCTCTTTCCCATGGCCTAATTGTTGATTTTCCAAGCCTCTTTCAGAGCAAGGCAATGTATTCTCCTAAACCCTGGTCATATGAAGTCAGATGTTTGGATGTGTCCCTCTTGGGAAACTACTGTATCAGTGATTTTGACACTGACCTGTAGGTGCAACTCGATGTACAGGTTCCCATTTACCAGCATTTAGGAGTAGGAAAAACACTTGTATTCTCTCAGGCTGCAAGATTCCTTCTGTAGGGAGAAAGTTACTCCATGAATTATTTGTTCAATTCATCAAATATTTATTTAGCAGCTATCACACAGCAATCATTATTCCAAAACTGGAAATACAACAGTGAACAAGATACAGTCCCTGACTTTAAAAGACCTATGTCTAGTCAAGCCAGGGAATAGACAAGAAAACAAGTTACTCAAATTTGTGAAAAAAGTAAGTACAGATTTTCAGGAGACTGCATAGGCAGAGCTAAGTGACTTAAAGAGTAAGTGGAATTAACCAGAAAAAGAGGTTAGAGAAGGCATTTGTCGGGCAGAGGGGATGCATACAAAGCCTTAGAAACGAGGAAGAACATGGGTTGTTCAGAAAACTAGGATGAGGCTAATCAAACCTTGGAGAGGGGAGCAGCAGGCAGGTAAGTCAGGAGGGAAAATGGCAAAGAATGAAGCTAGAAATGTCTGTTAGCACCAATCAGGGAGCATCTTTTAAGCCACATCCTGAAGTTTAAGGAATGCAGTCTTAACCTGAGTGCAACGCAGAACCTCAGAAGGTTCTTAATCATTACCGTGGTGATAGGATCGAATTTACTTCTTTCCTGTTATCATAAAACAATACCTCCCTCTTTAGAAGCTATATATTTTGACCCACAATGCTGTAATTTCCAGGTGTAACAATGATAATAATAGCCAGTCATATTGTGTTAACATGTTACTGATGCTATGTTAAGCATTATGCCTACATTAAATCACTGAATCTTTATTACTACCCTATTAAGTAGATGTTGGCATCTCTGACAGATAAGGAAACTGAGGTACAGAGGTTAAGTAGCACACCCAAGAATGTACAAGACTAAAAAAGAAGAACTAAAGTTTAAATCCACTGTATATTGAATCTAGAGGTCAAACTGAGCATAAGCCTAGTGGAAAAATCAAATTCAGCTTCTAACTCTGATTCTCAGTGAATGGGGGATCATGGACTTCCATGGGCTCAAGCTTTCCTTGTATTTAAATGATATGGATGGGCTACATAATTCCTTTCATCAAGTCTGACGTCAATGTATTTTATTTCTCAAAGATGTCAACAGAAATATAGTTTGTTTTAGTCATTGGATTCATAATGTTTGAAAGGCAAGAGACAGAGTTACATGAGATTAACCCTTATAGACGATGTAATCTCTTTCAGGGACAATTCTAAATCTCTCCTCTTCTCTCCTTACCATCTCAATCTTCTTTTCTAAGTCTTGAGATGGAAATCCAGCAACAGAAGATGATTTCCATAAACACGTGTTGACTGTTAGTGGATCGGAAAATAAACTGTCACTGGAACTGCACTCCCACGTATCGCTGTCATCAGCTTTTGCCTTCTTTGTGGTCCATCTGCAGTGACAATAATTCAGGCTCTGTTTTCTCTCTCTCAATTACGCTTTAGTCAGGCTGAGACTTTTTATTAAAGAAAAACAAATCTAAAAGGGTAGCTGCTTACAGCTAACAAAAAGATTCAATGTGGAAAGTGGCTACATTGCATTTGCTGGATTTGAAGTAGCCAACAGTTACTTTTCATGTATTTTACACCACTAGCCATAAGAAAGAATGAAAGTTATTACACAAAACAGCTAAAGAGGGATAGAGAGCCATCACGTTTTACTCCCTGCAGGTTGCCAGGGGAATATCAACATTCAGGTTGGCTTTTGATACTGGAAACATAATTCAGTGGTCTCAGCTTCAGAATTTTTAGACTTCCTGGAACCGCAGATTTAAAGACTTGGAAAGCTTGAGTCGTGGCTGTAGTCTCTGTCTTCTTAGGAAAAAAAATATGAAGACCAAGTGATTTATGGTATGTTCGTCTCAAAAAAACTCTCCAACCCCTGGCAACGAAATGGACTTTGAAATATGCCCACAGGGTTTCTTTACCAAGGACAATCTCTGAGTGCTTATTATTCACTTTACTAGTATA